CTTCATCGATACATTTACCAAAAGTTTGATAGGCATAAGAATTATTTATATATTGCAATATAAGTTTCATTGAACACGGCTTTAATATGAATTCTCTATTTTATGTTACAGAATCAACAGAGCTCACTCCGCTGCTGCGCATCGAGTGTCGGTGAGTCTCAAGTTTTATTTTACTATGGTAACGAATCTTCATCTCGTAGATCGTAGAACGTAGAACGTAGATCATACATATAGTAGATTGAACATTCTGTAGATTCGTTACCTGAAAATGGACAGATTACAACATAATTTCATTTTCTATTTGATATATCTAATCGATCAAAAAGTTTTTCTCAATAAATATTCACACACTTGTGACCTATCCATTTTTTATCAACATATCAATATGTAATGTAAAAGAATATGACGTGAGATGCTAAATAGTTTGTCGAGAACACTGAAACAATTCAAATTATTATACATTATTAGCGGTTATTGATTACCTATAATATCCAATTACAATATCAATATCTATCGTGCAGGAAGGTTTTTCAATTCTGGATCTCACGTCATTTATTCTATAGTATATATGTATCTCGCGATAAACCTTCAAGATGCGTCTCGCATGAACATGCATATTCATACGCATCTTTATACATCCGCGATCGGTTTTCGCGATTGAGTTTCGCGATTGGTTTTTAAAAACATTTCCAAGATATTAGTACTTTAATTTAACCTATATTAGAAATGTTAATTTATCGCGGAATATAATTAAAATTAATATAACGCGAAGTAAAATGTTTTCTGTATCTATACTTGAATTTTTAATTCAAAGATCGAATCACGAAGAGACGGTCACTACTCTCGAGTAAATAACGGAAATAGAAATATATTTTATTAGTTTTATGCAGCAAATTTTCGAATTAAACTTTTTTTAAATTAACTTCTCGTACTCGTGTATTTTTCGTTACGATCGACGCTCGCATATAACTCAAATCGTACGTAATATCTGTCGGTGACGATAACAAACCGACTACGGAAGGAGTTTTCTTCCTTCCTGATCTCTGGTCGAAATGACCAGACTGTATGGCCAGGAGCAACGAAAGGTATGTCCAATCTGGCCCGACGAGGGAAGACTGAATATGACGGAGTAAGTGGTCAATATTGGCCACTCTGATAGAGTATGTAAGACGATGTGCAAAATAATTTGATTTCTTTCTATTGTCAAAATTCGGGTGGGTTACTCTGTTTTATACATCCTCGCATATGTGCGAGATTGAAAAGACCCCTAAATCCCAATCGCGCGCGTATTATAATCTCAAATCGAACCTCTTATAAATCGCGTCGCGGTTTTAATAAAAGACTTTTAGGTTTATTAAGTTGAAATAAAGGTAGTTAGGAAAATGGATAGGACTGTACATCTGAATACACATAGGTAGGGATTCGGGTAGGCATGGACAGAGGGACACAACTCGATAAGAAGATAGATAAAATTATAACTTCAATATAATAAGAATGAATATAGTATGTAAGTAAAGTGCTGAACACTAGGCATCACTTAAATATAAAATAAATACTTAAATACAAACTTAAAATAAAATATAAGATATTGTTGTAAGTTCAAACGTCTTTTTAACGTATAAATATTTACTAGGAATATGTAATTAGTGATATACTTCACTATTTTTAACCAGTTTCAACGTGAATGTTTTTGTTACCAAGTTTGTAGTATCTAGATTGGAATGCACTCAATACCGCCCACCATATTAATTATTACGAAGGTGTTCGTAATAATTTAAAAGAATTCTTTTTGCAGATACCTACGACTCATTGTCAGTGTCATCCGATTTTTGTTTAAAACCGCATTTTTAACTTTATTACTCGTAATTATCCACGAGAGTGATACTTAAAAAAACATGCAATTTTTCAGCCATATATTGCGTCGCAAATATAAAGTGCCTTATAAACTTTTATTATTACACAAGTGTGCCTCGTAAGTTTATTTATAAAGCACCTGTATAATAATAAAAGGTCATGAATTTACTGCGTTATAAAAGCTAATTCTTCAGATATTTATATTTGCTGTATGTTAAAAACTTTATATCGACCGTAGATAATATTAATACTCTTCAATTACTTGCGAGCTCCTACAAACTTTCATTGACAATATGTATAATCATAAAAATTTACCGGCCGACAGTAGCCTTTAATAATACCGTGTTGTAAATACGTTATATTTAACAGTGATACATTAAATTACATTATATTTAATTATAAATTTATATTAGATTATACTTATTAATTATATATGTATGTAGATTGTATATTAGAGAGTCACATATAATATAGTCTTCATTAATACATAATAATCTTTACTTTAATGAGAAATTCTTCGATCAAATCAGTTCCCTTCCGAAAACATCGAGTATATTTATATAAAATAATACTTCAAATTTTATATATTGCCAACTTTCATATTAAAACATGTGTATTACAAAAAGAGAAGAATAAATTTACATAAATTTAATTGCTCAACATGAAATTTTATATGTCAACTCTTTGAAAGTCTATCAGTGGATTATCACTGAGAAAACTGTGAATATATAATCGCTGATTTGCAGGGTTGGGAAAGTTACTTTATAAAAGTATCTCGGTACAGTTACAGTTTTGTTTTGCTAAAAATGTAAAATAGTTACGGTAACAAGTTACCAGTTATGAAAAGTAATGCGTTACAGTTACAGTTACTCAAAAAGTAACGAATCGTTACCCTTGCAGTTACTTTCTTGCAAAGAAAATAAAAATATCAAATCTGCGTTTGAATTGTGGAGCGTCGATAAAGGCGTTTACGCGCAAATGCAAGGCCTGATGCAATCTGTAGAGGTTTAAAATATATACTATAAAGTAACTAATGTAACTGAGTTAAGTTACAGATGGGGAGACAGTAACGAAGTTAAGTTAGAGTTACCAAAAAAAAGTAACTGTAACTGTAACTTCGTTACAAGTAACGAACTTACTTCCCAACCCTACGTAAAGATACACGGTCAGTGTTCGCGCGCGAAGTTTTCGCATACCTTTATACTTCACGGAAAGAACAATGTAGCTGCTGTAGCTAAAACTTAGCAAAATAGGGACAGCTAATATTTTTAGTTGTGATAGCTCAATATTTTGCTACAGCAAACCGATTGCTGTCGCACCTAATACAATAGGCACAGTAGCAAAATATTGAGCTATCACAACTAAAATATTAGCTGTCCCTATTTTGCTAAGTTTTAGCTACAGCGGCTACATTGTTTTTTCCGTGTTGGCGCGAGACACTACCGTGTTTTTTGATACCACTGAAAGTCGCAGTAGTATACTTATTACCGTAAATCAGTGACTATTCACTGTTTTCAGTGATAATTCATTGATTGATTTTTAGAGAGAAGAAATTCGCTGTACTGCGCATATTTATTAAAGTCTCTAAACGCACGTCATATCGATTTTACTCAAAGTTGGATAAAAATCTGGCTGAAGAGACCTTGTTTATCGTGTTATTCTTTCGTCGCACGTGTCGTTAGTTTTTTTTTCTCAGATATCATTAACGCACCAAGATTAATGTTATCAAATTACATCACTCTCTGAAAGTCAATTAATCAGTGAATTATCAGAGCATGTCGCTGTGTATTTTGCAACATGTTACCGTTCGAACACCTGATTTCTTTATTATACAGAACCGCGAAAAAAGGTTCTATTCCGTAGGGAAAACTTATTCAACAAACACAGAACATTGCAGCAACATTGCAGCAATATTGCAACATTGCTGCGATTTAGGGACGTTTAGGGACTGAGCAGAATGGCTGTATTGTACTCTTAAGACAATGTTTTACGTTTTAAATCTTTGCCTTAAAGTAACGCACGATAACTGTCTTGTGACCTAAGAATACAAGACAGCCATTCTGCTCAGGCCCCTAATGTTTTGTGTTTGCTGGGTATGTTTTTCGACGTGTTGAAACTGAATCAGAAGTCCACATCTTCGTATCACGTCGCAATTGCAAGCTACTTGGGCGAAAGTGATTCAAGATCGTGACATTTTGAAGCCATCGATATCAAAACTTTCTTCGAATAAAATACTTCAAATAAACACAAATGATTGAAAATGCGATTTGTAATGAAATAGCGCGATTGCAAAAGTGGCAAAATTGTGCGAAAGCGGGCATTCCTGCTGTCTTTCATCATCAAATGTTTAGAACACGTGGAAATGATTGCGTGCCTTTGCAAGCACGTGCTATTCAGCGAATCTCGCAATTTTCAACGCATAAGAATATGCAATTTCAACGTCATGCAAGGCGTTCCGTCGTACGCTCGTGTCAATTTGCGCCCACGCAACAATGAAGTAAGACCGTTTATTGCACGGACGAGATTATTGCATGGCCATACTAATGATAGAGCCGCAGAAAGACTTATGGTAAGTCCGTAACAATTGATAAGTAATCTACGATGCGCCGTGCACATATTTCACTCAATCCTCAAAGAGGTCCTCAAATTTCGTATGCATTTAAAAAATATATAATTCGCTATGAAAGAATTTTGTATGCACATCCCGACGCATCTCTTCTCCGTTCTCCTCACTTTTCCATACAACTTTCATTGCGGATGTCTCGCGAAAGCGATTCCTGTCGTCGTGGGTAATGTCATTCGATAATAATTAATTGTATATTCACACTATAATGTAGTCTTCGTTAACACATTAACACATAATCTTTGTTTCGATGAGAAATCCTACGATCAAGTCAGCCTTTCTTCCGAAAATGTCAAGTATAGGTACTGGTATAAAATAATGCGGTACAACTTCAAATCTTCATGTATATTTCCAAATTTGACATTAAAATACCCATGTAGATTACAAAAAGAGAAGGTTAAACGCGCCACGATGCACGTGCCGTAGACGGACGAAATTGCATCAAACGCGATTACATGGATATGTCTCTGACACGTACAATTGGATAAGAACGTTATTAAAAGCGCGACGGGCCGTAACTTGGATCTTATGTCGAACGAGACGATTGTAGAAGAAGATGCGTCTCCATCGGCTTGGCTTGCATGGGATCACGTTGATTTTGGCGATACTGGCGATAACATGCGAGATCTCGCGGGCCAGTAAGCAGTGCAAGGCGGTCGTGATGGACGTGCACGTGAAGAAGTGTAGACTCGGTGCCGAGAGAGCCAAGAGAGGCCTCGAAAGGTTCGATCTGCAGAAGTACGATGAGAAGGACGAGACGAAGAGGCTGGAAGGGCCCGGTGAGCGAATAAGATCTTAAGACATGTCCATTTTTAACAAAGTGGACAATTTTCGATTCGACTGGCCTGAATTTATTATTACAACTCGCTACGTTTCGACCATGCGGGTTGTGGTCCTTTTCAAGCGACAATGTAAATGTAAACTTGCGTATCCTAAATTATAATTGTACAGAATTAGGCGATGTGACATATTTAGTATAATTCCATTTTTAAATACAAACTTCCGACGCTTAAAAATATTACTTCATAATAAATCCAAAAGAATTCTTTTTCGGTAGCTTACTATTATTGAATATAAAAATAATTTCTTTTTGTATCTGAAAAAAAACTCAGAATTGGTGACAGAGAAGCGAATTCTTTTTGAGGAGAAAGAGTTCGTTTCGTAATTCGGAAATTCTGAAAGAATTCTTCCTATCTGGGTAGTTAATTATTGGAATTATATTATTATCGGGAATTCACGATTAATGCCCGTTTCTACCGAAGTAGATTAACTTTAATCTTGGTTTAACTTTACATTTCTTTCTAGTGTTAAAAATGAGAAGAAGATAAAAAGTAATTTAAATCGAGATTAAAGATTAATCTGCATTGGTAGAAAAGAGCATAAGTCGTTTAATGAGACATACGCCGGAGAGATAACACGGTGTCAAATGAGGGAAGTCGCGACCCGACTTGATGCTCTCTCCGTGCGCGATAGTAAATCTCGTCGAGAGGCACTTTCCTCGAGACCAGGCGTCGGCGTCTCGATCGCGTTCCGGTTCTGCGAGCGCCCGATTGATAATCCCACTGTTCTTCAGATTACTCGAAGACGCAAGATACGGCGTCTCACGGCGTTCCACGGAAGAGGCAGCTGTCACCCGGACAAATCGGCGTTATCGCACTGCCGATTGTCGCGCAAGCTATAAACGGCGCCGCTAAAGCCCAAGCATACGCCACGTCCAGGACAAGATATCAGGACTCTAGTCCGAGCTTAATGGAGTCTACTCTCGGCTTGCCAGGGTATTATCTCAGGAGGCCTTATCCGTTCAACAGGGGCCTCGCGCCGGTAAGCCAATTACCCCTGGGATCCATTCTGTCATTTGGGAAACTACTCGGATCCCCCTCAACGTCGATACTGCGATCCGCCATGCCGTTGCACAACTATGGACTAAATCCCTTCAGAATCCTGTGACTCATCCCGCTGTAAATTGTACAAGAGAACAGCAGTGTGACAGCGATAATGAGTATTGAATAACACAGCGATGAGCGGTGAACTGGTACAGATGTTCTAACGCACCGTTCTGCGCTACCTGTGTGATTAACATTTGTGTATACCTAGAACTCTATATACATCTGTATGCAAATTCCTCCGACGATACAGTACCTCGACTTTCCTTTCCTCGACTGACTCGCAACAAAACAGGATAGACGGATTGTATCGAAACGTGCTCTAATTGGCCGAACAATTTTAACAATATCATGTAACTAACAATTAATGCTAACACAGGAGTATGTTGGTCAAACGATCGATTAGCCCGAGAAAGAAAAATAGCAGACCTAATCGAACGGGATTAATGGTAAAACTGGATGTAAAGGCAATGTGCAAAAAAAAATCAGACTGGCATAATATTCGACAGGCCTTTAACGACGATCTCGATCTGAGCGACGAAGAACTGGACGAATTGTACAATGATATAATCTATGAAAGGTTCCCGAGAGCTTCGAAAGATGAAGCTTGGAAGATTTTCTTAGAAACAGCGGCGAAATGCTGTCTAAATGTCGACCGGTGTCTCAAGGAAACGATGTCCATACCTTGTCTAGAAAGTTAGACGTCTTAACGCGTTGACCACCAATACGCTCATCCGTGAACGGCGTCCTAGTGGTCACTGGTGACAGGCGCTATCGAGATCTATGGAAATGTTTGTAAAAAATAATAAATACCATACTATTAATACTTGGACAACAATAAGTAGCCAGATAACAATATAAAGCGAACAATGCACTTTCCGACGTACTATTCGACGTATATGAGGATACCAAAAATCGTATTTAATCATATTACACAATATTTTATTACTATACAGAGTCAGGCCGAAGTACGCGATGCAACCGGGAAATGGCTGTTTCCGTGGGAAATGTATAGAATAGATTTTCTGTTTGAGATACTGGCCGGACAGACAACGTGTCTCAGAATTAAAAATCGAGATCATCAAATTAGAATACCAAAAATTATAAAGACAGTATCACGTTTATTATCTTACTTCCGCGTTACTTTACTGCTTTTGTACGAAATTGTTCGATGGAATAAATGAAGCACCAGTCGGTACGTATAAATGTATTTATTGGTCGCTATTATTAACGCAGACGTCAATTAAAAATTTCAAATGGCGATAGAAAGAACGTGCGCTATTCAATATGCATGGCGTGATAAAACTTCCGTCTACAACTACGTTCTCTCCGAGAATCTATGTCTTTTTTCTTATATTAAAAACTACAATTCCGCACTTAAATCTCGTTCGTTCTTCAGCGGACTAGTAGAGTACGCGTTCGTTGATGGGTCACAATGATAAACTCTAAGTTAAATCTTAAACTTACAACAGAATTTTTTATTCTAGTGAGATCATTGTTAATAAAACTAAGATCACCGACAAATATCCGAATTGAGCTACTCCTCGCACCTGAAAACGCATCGAATCGCTCGAGTTTTTCTTTCTTTCTTTTTTGCGAGATCGCGCGACCCGGATTGCATTCAAGTTCATCACAATTGCAGTCAATATTCGAGATAGTTCCTCTATGAGTCATCATCGAAATTCACTTATTTTTTTAAACTTCTTGGTATATCAAAGGAAAGCGTTGTTATAGATGCACGCCGTTTCCGTCAATATCGCCGCCGAGCAATCGATCCTCCGTGCTCCCTCGATCGTGAGTTGGTCCAAGATTGATGGATGACACTGTTCGCCACGTCATCGCAGCTTCCGTACGATCTGTTAACACTAATGCGCGATGAGGCTGAACTTGCTATAAATAATATCTCTTCCACGCGAATCATTCCGGATCGATTTAGCTGCCCCGATATATCCGCCCCGAATTCTCTGGTTTTCCCCTCCACGAGCGATCATCCGCGTGCAAATTCCATAAGTTATTTCAATCATGTGCTCGATAAAGAGACGCATTGAAGATCATCATTGGAGAAGCGAATAACTTTCGCTTCGGGGAGTAGGTCGCTCTTTTCGGAAAGTTCTTCTAATTTCTCGTGGACGATCGACAATCGGTTGCATTGTTCGTAGCACCGCAGCTTCGCTATTACGAAACGGAGGGAAACGTCGTAGGCTCGTCGGTCGTTGCTGATGTTACGAATTTGTTGTCTAGAGGCTTAATGTTGCTGCGAGTATTCTGTGTAACCTGCAACGATATAATACGTCCGTGCGTTACGATCGTTTGAAATTTCACTAATCGTTTGAAAATTATCTCGTTTACAAGACAGCGCATGCAAAGGCGGTCGATGGCTGCACCGCAAGTTCAGCCGTGGCGACAAACAGCAGAACGTCATGCAGAATGAGGAAAAAAAAGTGGAGCATACACACGATAGCATCTATCTGTAATTATTTTTAGATGCGAAGCATAAGTTAGCTTCATGACTCAAGTGTAAGAAACAGTAGTAAGTGCAATGCGCGGCGCCGTAAACGAGGATACAATCGTATCAAATGTGTTTACAACTTCGAGGAGGCTTCAGATATATGCATACAACTCTTAAATAACAGCAATTCGGAACAGATAAGGATGAAGATATATCGATTTGAAGTGGAGCTTTCCTTCAAATCTTTTCCTCGAGCCGTCCTTCGACTTAATAATAAAAAGAAAAACAAGCAAAAAACTTTTAGATAAGCATTCCAAAGTTGTAGCAAAGTTCAAGCTTGGTGAACTGGATAATTTTCGAATAATATTAGAAACGTCTTACGCGGTCAGGCTGGATCTTTTAGTGTCTAATAATATTTGTTTGCGTGTACATTCAACTAAGCAACCCGCGCGCCGATAGCATAGGCCGGTATTTGTAAACAGACCTTGAATGTTCAAGATCATCTTGAATTTATCTAAAGATCTCACGGCTCGGTCTTTCATTTTCTGGCTAAACGTTAACCAGAGATTAGTTGTCTCTTCTTAGATAATAATGTGGAAAGAGACGGGGAGTCGACTAACCTCTGGTTAACAGTTAACCAGAAAATGAGAAACCCGACCTAAGACGATCCAAAATATAAGATCTGCCTATGAAGTACCGTCCCTAATCATTGTAATTATTGTTAATTATTGTACAGCGCGGTGCATTAGTTTGGTTCCGGTCGTATTGTCAAAAAGCGTCTGTGTCTAAATAATCGGTTAATTTTTGCCCAATTATTACCCGAGCCCCGAGTTGATGCACCGTACCGGATACGACAGACACCCATTGCATTGCGGATGTTAGAAGCAGCGCGTTAGATTCGTGAATTAGCGGCAGTGTTTGCTGTTATCTAAATAAAATTATATAGATGATTATCTAGATAAAATTTTAGCGTTATTTTATCTTTATATAGATAATAAAAATAAGTATTATCTATATCTGCATCTTAGATGAAAGAAAGTGTTATTTTTACTAAATTATCTAAGATAACGTACAGATAATTTGGTTTAGGGCCACATAAAAATACTTAACAGTTACACTATTTAAATATGGATGGCGTTGTAGACCATGCATTTGTGTGTGTGTCATATAACTTAACCTGAATATATTCTATATCCCCCTTTATAATTTAAATTTTTCTATAATTTTTTAATAACTTTTTCTACTGTTTACATGAAGTCTTAAAAATATTATCTGAAAATTATCTAGATGAATCATCATATAATTTTATCTTTTATCTAGATATATTCAAAACGAAGTCATCTTTATCTTATCTAAAATAAATTTATATATTTTTGTGTTATCTTTATCTAGCTAATTTTAAAATCATCTATGCACAACACTGATTAGCGGAAAGGCATCGCACAATCAGATCGCATGGCCTGCGAAAGCATTCACAAAAGCGTTAGGTGCTAACAGGCAAGCAATGACGACATGACGTTTCGTGAAAGCACCTTGCCAGCTCGGCGACACTCCAGACGCCGACGCCGGCATCTGCAGTGCCTGCCGCGGTGTCGCTTTTTCGCATCAGCCTTCCCCTTGCATTCACCATCAACATTGCGACCACCTTTCCCCCTGTGCCGTCCCCTTTTCAAATCATCGACCTTACGTTTTATCGCATCGCCGGTGTTGCCCCTCTCCGTCTGGACCATGACATCTTTAATCGTGGAATGAGGTAGATTCGCCACATAAGATGCAACTCTGAAAATGTAAAAGAGAGAACCTTTAGGTAAACGGGTCATAGGACGGACAAAATTATCCCGACAGGAATCCAATATTATATTAATTATTGAACGATGCGTCCGGATTTATCTCCCAGCCGTATTGATTTTTTTCTTTCCTTTAAACTCTCGCGAAATTATTACGATCCACGAAATATATCCGCGTCGCGGATCGATGACCTACGTTCGAGTTTAACGAACAGGATTAACGAGACAAACACACTTCTCTCGCCGACGTTAAAAGTACGATAATATAAACATGTCGTCTGATATGGAAGGCGCGAGCGCAGGTTCGTGTATATGACAGAAAACAACACACTGTAATATACACTTGTGTAACAAAGCTCGATTACGATTTTAGGTGGGCAATAAAAAAACAAGTCGCACGTCTCGATAAACCCGCGGGGCACCGGGAAGAACGAGGGGGGAAGAGGTAAGAATGTTACGCGTGATAGCGAGTCGTCCTAGCGGACAAACCCTCTGAGACATGTTGTCAACCATGAACTTTAGGCAGAGATTGCGAGTTCACGAAGACAAATGATAATACGGCCTCTCTCTCTCTCTCTCTCTCTCTCTCTCTCTCTCTCTCTCTCTCTCTCTCTCTCTCTCTCGCTCTCTCTCTCTTTGATTGCGGTTTATGCTCCCGAGAGAGTACACATGCTCTCTCTCTCTTGAGTGCACCCTGATCTCCCTCCTTTGAACGCTCGTTGCAGATCATCTAGTAATCAGCTGACAGCGCGAAACAAATGATTCAGCATCAATATAAATAATTACATAATGAGCCATTATGTGTTACGACACGTAGACTATTTATGCGCGCAATTACGTTATTGTGTCCTCGGTTGTTAGTAGATCGATTTATCGAGGAACGTTTCGTACAAGCGATAGACACTTTGCGATTCGATCGAGGGGCAACGGAATCTTTAACAAGACTTTGACACGACTCTTTATGTTTGTTGTCACTCGCTTGGAACGAGTCCGACTGTGTGTCACGACCTCTTTTTTTTTCAAATATCTGTACACGAGAGACAAAATTGTTTTGTTCGAGAATTCCGAGGGTCTTTCCGCTCCTGATTTATTCGCGCGCTTAAAAGATATCGGGATATTTAAGCGAGATCTATGAGCGAACGCGCGGATTAGACTATCACCGGAATCTATTAATTATCTAATAACAGGGTTGGGAAAGTTACTTTATAAAAGTATCTAGTTATAGTTACAGTTTTTTCGCGAAAAATGTAATTAGTTACAGTTACAAGTTATCAATTCTGAAAAGTAACGCGTTACAGTTACTCGAAAAGTAACGAATCGTTACTTTGCGGTTACTCCCTTGCGATGAAAGGACAAATATCAAATCTGCATTTGAATTGTAGGGTAAGCGAACCTATTTCGGAACACTTTAATTTTGCTCCTGTTAGCTGTCACGTAATGTCAAATTTTAATGCTGGTGATAAAGAGCATTATAAATAAAGTTTGTGATGTGAAGAAATGAGCAGTAGATACAGAAAATAATTGACAATAGTATATTTTTGTTATTGGTTGTCATGACAGGGCGCTTCTGAGCGGGATGAGTTACGGTAAGTACGGTAAGTACAATAATTTCATATTTCTCTTATATTACTTGCTCGTTCTCTTATATTTTGGACTTAAACAACAGTTAAAGGTTCAAGGAAGATAATCGTTGCTTAATTGAATTATGAAACTATGTTGTTGCAAAATGTGGCTGTATATGAAAACAGCTGTTCCGAATTAGGTGCAGGTGAACCTAATTCGGAACAAATTCAGTACTTGAATTGATTGGCAGCCATTTAAAAACAAAGTCTTCTTCAAATATTGATTTATGCCTAATTAATAGTTAAAGGATGACTTCTTAACTAGCATATATCAGATTTGTTTTAGAAGATTTTATGTAAAAAATACAGCAAGTTTTTTAAAAAGTGTTCCGAAATAGGTTCGCTTACCCTAAAGCGTCAATAAAGGCGTTTATGCGCAAATGCAAGGCCTAATGCGATCTGTGGAAGTTTACAATACACATAAAGTAACTCTTAATGTAACTATTAAATTAGTTACTAGTTGTCGAGAAAATGTAACCGAGTTGGGTTACAGTTACTGATGTAGAGAAAGTAACGAAGTTAAGTTAGAGTTACCGAAAAGAAGTAAGTGCAAGGGCCAGTTTCACAAACGTCGGTTAACTGCTAACCAGAGTTCAGTCAACTCCATATCTTTTTCTATCTTATTATCTAAGAAGAGACAGAGAATCAATTAACCGAGGGGGAAACCGCTGAGGGCATTGTGGTGTACAGATTTGCGGCATTACCGGGCATTACTAGGGCATTTTTGGGGCAATACGTCTTGCTGAGGCATTATAAAGATAAAATAAGATAAAATAAGATACAATAAGATAAAATAAGATAAAACAAGATAAATAAGATAAAAGAAGATAATAAGATAAAGTAATGCCCACTGGGCATTAGTGGGCATTGGTGTACAAGATTTTGGTCAGCGGTTTCCCCCTCGCAATTAACCTTCGGTTAGCAGTTAACCGACGTTTGCGAAACTCGCCCTAACTGTGACTTCGTTACAAGTAACGAGTTACTTTCCAACCCTGTCCAATAATATACGATTACAAAAGTGAGAGGAAGAAAAAGATGAAACACAACGTAAGACATGAAGAAATAAAGTGACATACGCAAAATGAGGAATACAACAATTTCGGTAGCAGGTGCAAGAGGGGAATGAAATCGGAAAGAAAGCTGGAGGGTTGAGGTGTCCCTGCCTGTCCTCGAAAGTATGGCAAGGCGATATAAAGAGCGAGAGAGAGAGAGAGAGAGAG